TACCGAGATATATTGAGTCTCAAGATGGGAAAAAGTTATTGGTATGTATAATAGTTTTGCTTATTGAAATTAACGTAAATTATAATTAGATAAGGAAAGATATTCTTCTTCCACCCCCCTCGTTCATTCTGAAACTTAGGTGGAAATTTTGTTAACTGGCATTTCAAAAACTCTGTTGGCTTGTGTAGAAATGGAACCCAGAGAAAGAACAGCTTGTAGGCAGCTGCCCATCCAGAGCATGTTATTGAAAGATAAGATGTTAAACACTTAATGCATTGAAACTTCCTTTGCTTATGGGCATGACAAGGACTCTGATACATTTTCTGTATAATGGGGGTATTGTCAGCCCCTCAAAGGCTGACAACATCTCCACTTGGCACCACATTCCCAAAGACACTAGGTATCAGAGACATGTTAATAAGTATTTTGGGCCGGCTTGTTGTGGAATACAGTGCCTGTCTCCTCAAAGTTCTCTTTACTCTTCTGGAATTCATGGTCTTGCAACACTTTTAGTTAAAGGCAGTGGGAGGCAGTCCTGCAAATCTGGAGAAGGTTCAGTAAGGTTAGTCACCTGGTAATGTTATGAATTAGCTAAATTTTAATCATAGCTGGATAAAATCAAACATTTCTAATGATTAGTCAATAGAGAGCTGACAACTGCTGGGAATAGAGCAACTGGAGGAAAAAGCACAATGATCCCTCTTTTCAGAAAGCAGCTCCCGGAAGCTCCTGTTGCTATCAAGATGTGGAGGCAGGCATACTTAGCCGGCTCCATGCGAGTCCGCTTGTCCTGTGCTGTCACAGGCCAGATTGGAAATGTGACTCAGAGCTGGTCCGGGCCAGAGAATACCCATCACATCCCCCAAGGCAGTGGATGTCCGTTCAGCTTGCACGTGTTCTGACCTATGAGTGTTCTTGTTTTGCTGAAAATAAGCATCTTTGATGGGATTGCCTTTGCTTAAAAACAAAATTAACATTGCTTTTATTGGACTTTCAAAAGAAATTAAAAATGAAAGGGAAGTATCTTCATTCTATTAGCAAAGATAGTGCAACAGCAGTCAGATTTAAAAATGTGCCAGGTTTAATAAAATCCAAGGCTTATATTAAGCAATCTGAACAGCTGAGCCACTACAGAACCAAAAATTAACACCCAGTGTTTTGGTTAGAAGGAAGGTAAGGGATTGATTAATTATTTCACTGTTCTTAAGGGGAGGGAACAAACTAGGTCTAGAGTAGATTGAGTTTTTTTTAAAAAAAATATTTTTATTGATTTTTTACAGAGAGGAAGGGAGAGGGATAGAGAGCTAGAAATGTTGAAGAGAGAGAAACATCGACCAGCTGCCTTTTGCACACCCCCTATTGGGGATGTGCCCGCAACCAATGAACATGCCCTTGACCGGAATTGAACCTGGGGCCCCTCTGTCTGCAGGCCGACGCTCTACCACTGAGCCAAACCGGTTTCGGCAGATTGAATTTTTTTTTATTGACTTACATTCTTCTGTGATTGGTTTTCCAAATTTGATAACCCCTTTTCTGAAAGAGCAGTAGATATAAGTAAATGCAGTTCTTTCCAGGTTTCATTGGAAGAATAATTGTGTTGGTTGATGCATATTGCAAATTAAACTTGCAGGGAGAAGCAGTCATGGCAAAATGTATTTTTCCTGATGCTTTGCTTCATGAATTCTACTTTATTAAGTGTTAGTCACCCACTTGTACTCACAATAGGGATTCTGAACTTCAATATAATATCTGTATTACCGAACAACTTATCAGCTTCAGTCTCAAGAATATCTAGCTTTTGGACTCAACTCTTTCACTAACTAGCTGTGTGGCTTAGATAAAGCCATTTGAGGCCCAGTGTTTTCATCTATAAAATAGGACAGTCCATGACAGTTCTTAAAGTGATTTCTAACTACACAGTTCTGTGGTTCTAGATATAATTCTTCCAAATTATATCTAAATTATATTTAGGTATAATTTGGAAGAAAATGGGAATCTGTGGAAGGTTTATGAGTTACGCTGTGATGGAAGTTCATCTTTTCAGTAACAAAACGTAGTTCCATGAACTCTGCAGTGATCCTAGGTAATTAGTTAAATTCCCTACGGAGAGGAGCAGGAAGGACAGCCTTTTCACACAGATGGGATAGTTCAGGCCGTCTCTGAGGAAAAGCATTACTGTTTTCATTTTAAGTAAATGATTTAAGTCTTAACTGATAACCTTATATACCCTCATTGAGGACATCTAATGCATAAAGTAATGCCATCCTTTACCTGGATAAGTCCTTTTAGATACAAAGCTATGGCAAAGAAATAAGATCCGTTGGGAGATATGCTATCACTGAAGCAAAGAAAAGCTCTCTGTGTTACAACAGGCAAAGGCAGCTGGGAGCTGGCGGAGACATCAGATATGCATACTGGCTACTGTCAGTTCCTATCTATTGAGCTGACCAAGCGCTGGCTGCCTAGGTGTCCTGCCTGCCAGCCAGGGGGTTGCCCGAGGACATGCTTCTCACTTCCTCTCCTTGGCTTTTGCACCTGGATGTCATTTCTGTCAGGATCTGTAGACCTAAGAAGGTGGTGAAACTCACAAAAACCATTTTTCCTTCTTGACAACTTAGATAAATTACTTAGCTGGGGAAAGGTTGAAATTATTCATTTAAATGTGGATTGGAAGTATTGGTACATTTCAGCCATCCATCTTACTTGTTTTCTCTGCAGCTACTAAAGCTGACAGTTGACTGTGGAAAATAGCATAAAATTATTTTCTCAGTACAATGGAAAGAGTTATCACGGAGAAGATCAAATGCTCCTATGAGAAAAGTGCACATGAGCAAAAATGTTAAATGCTGACAATATTAGTGGTGAGGTATTTTAGAATGAAATGTGTGACTCTTACTGAGGGATTTCTGTTTTTCCTTAGGGAATGTCACAGGAATGCTCTTTTGTGTTGATGATAAATCCCACTGAGTAACTCTTTATGAAATGATCTGATAGACATCAGGAAAAACAAACTTCATACAATGTGGGGTTAACAAATACTTGGGGACTTTGAAGAGAACTTGAATCATAGAATTTGTTCTGTGTTCTGGTCCTGACTTTATTTTACCTCAAATAAGTAGTAACTTTTAAAAAATTTATTTTTTGATATTGAGTGTTATATCTTCCATAGGAATGACTCTGTTGAAAGCTTTATACTTATTTTTCAGTACTTAAGATGAATGGGAATGGAGAGCATGTAAGATTATAGAACAATGGAGAAGCCTGGAATAAAAGATTAGACACAAAAAAAGAGATTAGAGTTTAAAAATATAATTATGGATTTGAAAGTGCTAAATAAACTATTTTATTGTGCATGCATGTGTGGGTAATAGATGTGTAAAAAAATTAGTATTACAAAGTAAGATAGAAAAAAGGTGATTATGTAAATGCATAGGTGAATCTGGGTATATAAAGATGCATAAGGCTAGTTCCTTGCTCTACTGGAATTACAATTTACTGGAGAAGTGGAGGGTGGGAAGTAAGAGAGGTAAACAATTAATTGTAATGTAAGATAGAAAAAAATTGTGAGCAGACTAAAAAAAGAAATGTACTGGGAATTTGGAGGTAAAAGGAGAGACGGGAGAATCAGGGCACTGATGGGAGAGGGGCATTGAAGTGAGCTTTGGGCCACTGGGATTTGACCACGAGAAAAGGGAATAAGCCACGGGAGAGGCAGAGATTGTAGGTATAAAAGAAGTCATTAGGAATGGGTTCTTGAGAGAAGCAGGGCAGAGGTAACTGAAAGAAGAGGGCACTTGTTCTTAGGTTGTTACAGAGAGTTTTTGGATGCAGGGAGTATATGGGAGTATATTCTTTTCATTCTTAATACTGAGAAGACACTTAGTAAAATCCTGCAAAGAAAACTGATCAACAAATCAAAAGTGGGTTTTTTTTTTTAAAAGCAGAGAATGCTATTGTACATTCTCTATTTAGAACAAAATAAAGAGAAATGAGTATTTCTTTTGCATTTGAAAATTGTAATCAGAAACCACTTTATATTTGGAAGTGATTATATAAGACTATAGTCTGTTCTACAGCATTTGACATGAAAAATGTCTTACTCAAGACCTTTCATATCCACTTTGAATTTGCTTTGAACTAACTCCCTTCAGAATATTGAGCCAGACAGATAAACATGGAATGGGATGACATTTATTGAGAATAGAAGAGTGGCTGGAAATTCAGAAACTCTTAGTTTGCCTATTGGTGACTTTCTTTAATCATTTCTTCAAAAGGGCCCCAGTCCCTTGTCTTTCTGGTCAATTTTTTACCTACTATCATCTTCCCCCATCTTCTTTATCTCTCTAACAGTCGTCTTATTTCCCCTACTTCACTCAGGATATTATCTAACTCTTAGCCATATTTGCATTCTACCCAAATATGGAGGACAGGGACAACCATTTCAGTGTTGGTACCTCAAGATCTGTTGAGCTGCTGGCTCTGAGACCTGACCCACTTCTCATTATTGCCAATGGAGTCAGAGCCTTTCTGGAGGGACAGCCAAACCTCAGCCAAATCCACGCTGACAACTTCATCTACATGCTCAGCAGTCCTTGAGCTCATCACTAATTCCCTGTTCTGATTCCCATTGCTGCTGTTTCAATGCCACTTGCCTTGATGTTGTAGTAACCATTGGGATGAGGGAGTGGTATAAGAGGTGTTTCTGGATGCCATCTGAGGCTTAAAGAATGTGCATGCATTTATTCCACAGTTACTTGTTTGGCATCCATTGTGGGAGAGGCAGGTGGCATAACTAGAGCAATCAAGGTAGGTGACTCTAGCTGTGGTGTTAGATGGGTGAGAGTTGGAGTAGAGGTTATCCTTCTCTCTCCCTTTTCTTGGGGTTAAGGCCATGGTTCCCCGTTGCTGGCCATATCATGTTGGTCTCTGTGAGCACTCTTTGCAATGAGCCAGTGTAAGGATTTCTGACAACCACCTTTCTGATGTTTGTTTTGTGACAGATGATTCAGGAGAGCCGGTTTCTCATAGAAATGGCTGACACAGTCCAGGAAAAGATTGTGCAGTGCCAGAAAGCAGGTAATCGCCGCCCACTCTCACTCCCCCCTCCCACCTCTATTCTGTTTAGAATTCATCATGATCATTCTTGGCGGTTTTTTTTTCCTTCAATTTGTGTTCCTACTTCTAAAAGTCAAATAATTTCTGGCTTTAACTTTTTGTGTCTTAAATTACAATGAATTGTTTGCCTATATTATCCCTTACCCCTCACTCTCCAGTTTATCCTCTGAGGTACACTTAAGTCTTTGTTTAGTACAGTGTATATATAGAGGGGTGATGTCTGAACATTTCTGGAGAGGAATGGGTTTCTGAATCTGCTTTTGTGGGTTTGGAGCCTATCAAAACCTTCTCCTACTGATATGAAGCTATGGGTCCACACTGCCTCGTAAGAACCACTTCATTTTACAATTGGAAACATAATCCTTTTAATCTTCCAGCCATTTACCTCAATTACTTGTCCTCATTTTAGAATGTGCTTTCTTTAAGGATGGCGGGGATGGGCTCCATATCTGTGAGGGCATGCCTCTAATTATATTTCTCTTTACCCAAAGCCTGTACTTTCACTTTTTTTGGATCCATGTCTCCTTGGTCCACACAAACAATAGTGATTATGATGAGGATGATGGCAATAATGACAGTTGCTTAATATATATGCATATAATATACTAATCACTCCATTATGTTACTTAGTCCTCATAACATCTCTGCAAGGTAATCATCATTATATCCAAACTACAGATGAGGCATCTGAGATTCTGAGTGGTTGAGTGAATTACCTAAGATTCCATATTAAAATGTGGTAGAGCTGAGCTTTGAACCCAGACCATACTCTCACCAAAGAACTTATATGTGTCCATGAGCATAGCCCATGGACACAGACAATTGTGAGAATGAAAGCCTGGGGTGCGGCAGGAGCCAGGTGGCAGGGAGCAAAGGGGGTAAGTGTGGTATATCTGTAATACTCTCAACAATAAAGATAAATTTAAAAAATAAAAAAAATAAAAATGATGCTCTACATTGACTGACCAGCAGGCATATATGTTTCAGTCAATAGGAGGCACAAAAATAATATTACCAAATACTTGTTATATAATGCCCCTATGTGCCAGGCACTACTTTGAGAGCTTCAGATGTAGTGACGCATTTAATCTTCACCACAATCACTTGCGGTAAACCTTCCTGTTGTCTCCATGTTACCAACAAGGAAACTGACTCATGGAGTTTCAGAGACTCACTCTTGCTCACAGACCTGGTAAGTGGTGGAGCTGATGTCAGCCCCGGCTCCAGTCATGCTCTGACCATGCACTGTTGGAGATGTGAGCACCAGGAAAGTTACTGTGGTGGCAGCTGCATTCGTCAAGGCAGAGCAGCTGTAGCAAGGAGGGTGGTGGGTCATCCCTCCCTCGAGAGGGCTGCTTCCAGGTCACTTAGATGGATGTTCCTGGTCGCAGGTCTCTGCGAGCTTCCCTCTGGGAAGTTATGTACCGCAGCAGCCCTGCCTGGAGCTCATCCTTCAACCAAAGACATTACTAGTACACTGAAACTTGTCAGAATGTCTCATCTGGAGAAGAGAAGACTCGAGTGGACTTTACTATCTTTCTTAAGATATTTAAAGGGCTTCTCTGAGGAAACGAGGGCAGACCTTATTGGTCTGGGTCTAGGTAGCACCAAGGAATGAATAGAAATTCCAGGGAAGAGAGACTGAGGCTGGCTATCAGTCAGAGCTATTCAAAGATGGAATGAGCTAGCCAGAGAAAGGATGATCCCCATCCTTGAAGCTCTGAGACAGAGGCTGAATGAACAGTCGATCTTGGTGCTGTTTTTGACAGCATTCAAGCTTGGGAGAATGGTTGAGCTAAAAGTCACTTTCAAGTCATTCCCAAATCTGAAACATTTGGGTGTTTCCAGGAATGTTATCTTTAAAAAAATCTTTTTATTTTCACTTCACATTTATTAATTACAATTGTTATAGATGTGGGCTCCAGGGCTTACTGTCAAGCTATATAGGGTTCATAGGAAAAGAGAGGTATTTGCATCCATCACATACGGTTGCCATTCAGGCATTACTCCATTTCATATGAAAACCAGGCAGAGGACAAGTAAGACGGAAGAACTTGCTTGGAAGAACTTGCTTCTTACCTTCTCAGGTCTATGGCTTCTGGCTCTTTAGAATGTAATTTAGTTTAATGCATTGATTATTGTAGGTTTCCCCCTAAGAATAGCCATTTGGTGGGGATGAAACAAATTGGGAAGGTGTGTTTAAGTTAGGGATTTAGAGATTATAAGAGAAGGACAGGAATGGGAAATTATATTTTTACTGATAATATTTTCATAAAGTGCCTATTTTTCTTCAATATATGCTAAGAATTCTTAAATGTTCTCTTTTCAAAGGGATGGAGTTCCATGAGGAACTTCATAATCTGGGGGCAAAAGAAGGCTTGAAAGGAAGAAAACTCAATAAGGCAACTGAGAGCTTTGCGTGGAACATTACAGTGCTGAAGGTAAGCAAATGCCCACATGCCCCTACCTTTGTTTCTCTCCCCATCTCTCCAGCAGGTAGAGAAGTACGGGTGGTTAAATACAGTGATTTGCATGTTTAGGTAACATGTGGCCTAATCACCAGGTTATGCTCTAAGTGACGGAGAGATGCATGCTGGGATTGACATGCCTCTGCCCTGATAGGGCTGTGAGGACAGTACAACCTAATTCTCTTGCCCGGTGTGTGTGTGTGTGTGTGTGTGTGTGTGTGTGTGTGTGTGTGTGTGTGTGTTTGCTCTCATAACACTTCTGTTCAAGTCAGTACAGCTGTTCTTGTTTGTGAAAAGGAGAAGGCCAGTGCTCGCTTCGGTAGCACATACACTAAACTTGGAATGATACAGAGATTAACCTGGCCCCTATGCAAGGTGCCACGCAAATTCGTGAAGCATTCCATATTGTTTATTGAAAGAAAGAAAGAAAGAAAGAAAGAAAGAAAGAAAGAAAGAAAGAAAGAAAAAAAGAAGGAAAAGAAGAAGGAAAGAGCCAAATGTTGCAGGAGAAGGACCCAATGCGAGTGACTAGAAGAGCCTTAAGCTTTAGAATATCTAGTCATGTTTATTTTAAGAACAGACTTTGTAAATACGTTTATTTTTGCAAATAGCTTTGGAAGTCATTTTCTTGAGATTATGATCTGCTCCACTGAAAATTAATTTCAGGGTTTTAAGCAAAGATGATAGTGGCATAATTTGTTTTTGACATTGTGATGGGAGAAAAACAGGCACAAACAAAATTAATCATTGCTAACATTTAAAGAATACATACTGTGTGTCAGGTGCTGTTTTATAAGATTCATATGAATTGGCATGTTAATACAACCACCCGGTACTGTTATTATTCCCATTTCACAGGTAAGAAAACTGAGGCATTGAAAACGTGTCCAGCTGAAACCGGTTTTGCTCAGTGGATAGGACATTGGCCTGCGGACTGAAGGGTCCCGGGTTCGATTCTGGTCAAGGGCATGTACCTTGGTTGTGGGCACATTCCTAGTAGGGGGTGTGCAAGAGGCAGCTGATCGATGATTCTCTTTCATCGATGTTTCTAACTCTCTATCCCTCTCTCTTCCTCTCTCTGGAAAATCAACAAAATATATTAAAAAAAAAAAAAAAAAAAAGAGAAAAGAAAAAAAAAAGAGAAAAAAAGAAAAGAAAAGGTGCCCAAGATCACTCAGCTAGTAAATGGTAGAACTGGAGTCTGAACCCAGGTGATCTGCTCCAGAGCCTGGTTCTCTAACCTGCTGTGCAGGGAAAGGCATGTGTTTATGTGAAAGTGCTGGGTGGTCTGTAAGACGTATCACAAATGTGTATTAAAAATTCAACTCACAGATAAGCCCTACTGTATAATGGGCTCTATGCTAGGCATGGAAGATCCATGGAGAACAAGAGAGATACCAACCCTGTCCCCATGGATTGACACTCTGGGGGCAAGGAGTGGGGTTGGGGGATATGTGTCATTTGCCTAACAGGCAGGGGGGAGCTCCTGACAGCACTGGAGTGCATCATGCCAGTATGAGCTCGGATGCAAAAATGCTCTCCGTTTCGTAGATATTTATTTATGTGGCTTATTAATCTGCTGGTCACTGAGAAAGGGCTGGGACCCCAATAGTGAAAGAGTAATACCTGAGCCTCCAGGACTAGTCTACAAGGGGTGACAGACATAAGATTATGGCCATTGATTATTCAGCACTTAATATGTGGCAAGCACTCAGGCCTAAGTCATTTCCCCTTTCCTCCGTGCGAAGGCTGTGTGACCTTGAAACAACCATGCCATTTCTGACATTGCATCTTTCCCATCTCACAGGTGAGCAGCGAGGCTTAGGGAGGTTTGAGTTTCTTGCCCTCTGCTAGTAAATGGCAGAGCTGCGATTTTAACACATGCCCATGTTCTAACCGCTACCCTGAGCTGACTGGCTTATGATATGATGACTATGAGTTGTAATTGCAGTGTCCACATTTTCTAAGCCAGAAGTCAGGTCTTAGAATCCAGCAAGGAGGCTGAAATCAAGACGGTCCTGGAAACTCCTATACACGCGTTTTTCTTTAATATGTTAGCATCATGAGTGGGCCCACAGTAGAAACTCATCTAGCAGATGTCTTGCATTTCCCCACTCTTTTACTATGTGCCCGTCTCCAGCTAGACCCATCCTTTCCCTCTCTCTTTCTCTTTCACTGCTGAGCACAAAATCCAACTCCTTACATAGCCACCAGGTTCAGTTGGGTCGAATGATGATGTGGGTCTCACGCCCTGTCTTCAGTATCTTTTCCAGATAATCCCTGGACCGACCGGGATAGCTCCTCCTCACCTGCCCTCACACATCAAAAGTTCCTTTCATCACTCCTTCCTCCAGGATGACCTTCAGAAATAAGCTTTGTTTGGTTATTAACATAGTATTCAAATGTTACAATGGGAATTCTTCTAGATCTTTAAGTCTTCCAGGAAAAGATACTACAACTTCACTTGCATAGCCAACCTGCTGGTAGTCAGTTATCACTAATTTTAGAAGTGTTTTACTTACCGAAAGTCTAAGATCTTTGGAAGAGAGACATGAACTTTTACCGCGTCACTGACAAAGCACACTGTGCTATGAAGTGGAATTCATTTAAAGTCTTGGACTCCAGCCAGAGTGTTTAGACCCTTTCAACCCAAAAAGAACTTCACTGTGCGGGGGTCACACCTAGACAACTGAAATTCGAAAGGAGCGAAAAGTAGTGTTTCACTGCGTGTTCTCAATATTTATATGTTTCTAACTTGGCCTGTTGATGATTTTAAGAAAATAAATTCCATTACAGATTTTTATATTTTTAAAAATTTGGTAAAAAATTTTAGCAGCCTGCAGTTGTCAAATAGAGATATATGAAAATAATACTGAAGAAATTTTATAGATTAATGCATTTCAGTGTGTGCTCTAAAAAATTGGGTCTCTTTTATAGATTCATGTCCAGTTGATAGGACTAATGCTTTCTCACCTAACTTTTTGGCTTTTTGCTAAGTCTTTGCTCCTTCTGCTTTATCTGGAAAACACTTCCGTTTTTCTTGGAGAGAGCTGGGGCTGAAGCATCTGACTTGTCCTCTGGGCACTGTGTTCTGAGTCAGGAGATCTCTCAGTCAGTCCCCAAGTTTCAGGCACTCACAACCCTGGGGACTCACTGCAGCTGGGAAATTACCTGGATGTAGTGTGGTGCTTCCTAATAGCATTTGCAAACACATTTGAGATCTCTGCTTATTGTTGAAAGACACAAGAATAAGGGAAACAAGGTGATAGGCTAATGGAAAAAGTAAGAATAGGAGAGGCATTGCTCTCTGAAAAACTGAATGACAGCTAGAACAGTTCCCCTTAACTGAATGGCCAGAGATATTTTAAGTCATTTCATGAGATACTGTGTATGGGGGGAGGGGTGATTAAAGCAGGCTCTCTGGCAGGCCATAGTGATCATGTGTGTCCCGTCCCCTTGGGGACTGCTCTGGGATTAGAGAAGGAAGGGACATAGCAGTGTCTTCCATGTGCCCATTGAACACTCCAGTGGTGTTTCTGATAGCTGCTGGCTGGTGCAGTGGGAGCCAGAGAAAGGCTAGGCTTTGTCCTGAGCCAGCTCATTCAGCTGTTTATGATAATGTCTAGAATAGGTCCCCAATTACAAGAATGCATTAGCAATAAACTATTCTTTATATTGACATTATCATCAATGATTAAACCGGCGGTCAAGGGCACAAACTCTGGAGCCAGATGCTTCTGGCTGCGTGGCCTTGGGAACACTTTCTTTTGTCTTTGTGCTTCTCATCACTTGGGATAGGCTAGGTTGTGCTTAAAACAGAGATCTGGGGCTTAAAACAATGGCTTGTTTCTAGCTCGCAGGGGTCAGCAGGGGTCACTTAGGGGCCCAAGCTAACGGGGGCTCTCTTAGCAAACACTACAGTCCTAGAGGTAGGAGAACACAATTGATTTTCAACACTTCTGCCAAGTAGTGTCACATGTCCCTTCCATTCACATTTGATTGGCCTTAGTCCTATCTGTAAAATGAGCCTAACAACAGTATCTTTACAGGGTTACTCTTAAAATAAAAAAAATGAGCATGAAAATCATCTGACTGCTCATTTTAAGCACTAAATGCTCCTTATTAACAATAAAAGTAATACACACTTGTCCAGCACTGTCTGCATGCCAAACATTGCTTTATAACTCCTTTAGTTACTCATTTATTAACTCATCTACTTGGTCCTCACACTAACCCTGAGGTGGATGTGGGGGCGCCTGCAGCGGGTGGATTACATGCACCAGCATCTGCTCCCCTTCTGGAGGGAGTGCACACCTCACCGCAACCCTGACATCGGGTGTGACCATTAGTTCTTCTGGACGAATAATTAAATCAATGCCAATGAGAGAGTTGATTGCACGCCTCTTGCACGCTCCCCCTGCTGGGGATCGAGCTCACAACTGGGGCATATGCCCTGACTGGGAATCGAAACAGGGACCTCCTGGTACATAGGTTGCCACTAAACCACTGAGCCCCACTGGCTGGCTACAATTATTCTTTACATTCTCATTTGATTTTTAATTTCTATATTTTTGCCTACTGTAAGTTTTAAAAATAATATGTGAGTTTTGGCAAGCAGTTATGGCATTGTCATGCTGGCAATGTTTGGTGACTAGAAGTGGGAAAGGCAAAATAATAATGATGCCAAAATGGAGGGTGTGATTGTGGTGGCAGCCAGTGCAGTCTCCTTCAACCCAGCAAGCTCTAGCCTTACCTGTAAGGTTAGCAGCTGCCTTTTAGTGCTTGTCACTTATCACCATGAAGAAGGTCGCAGGTGAGAGAGAATGGACGAGTTAGTTCTAGAAAAACAGGTTCAGTCTCACAGATCAGTGCCATTATCTTGATACACAAAAGAAAATGCTGTCAGTCCTTGTGAAGTGGAGAATATGCAATTAGAAGGCATAGGTCTACTCCTGGGGTTTATAGCTCAGTTG